CCTGTCCCTGCCCTCCTCCCTGCCCGCCCACCGCTCACTCTGAGGTTGGAGCAGCGCTTTCAATCCGAGCCGGATTTTTCCAACAAACCATTCCCTTCCATCCTCTGCCGATGTGCTGAGGAAGGTTCACAGTTCAGGCGGGTTGAAGAATGCGGCTGATTAAAAACATTCCTCCCTAATAAAAGGGAAAAGGTTTCGCAGGGAGTGGGAACGAGCTGCAGGGAGTTCGCTCAAATTAAAAACACTTAAATAAGAAACCACACCAAAGGGACGATGTTGAAAGAAGGAGAAGATCACAAAGGGAGAACTGGAGAAATAGGAAATCCCGGAGCTCGTTTAACCCCACCAGGCCCTGGGGTGCTGGATTTAATTAAGGACCAAACGCTGCTCCCCGGAATGAGAAAAAAAAATCATCAAACTCACCCAGATCTGCCCAGCCCCAGCTTCTGGGGGGACAGCAGAGACCCCCCCAGGTGCCCACGGGTCACTTTGGCCCCCACCTCCCTCTGCTCGTGTGTCCCCAAGGGGTTTCCTCACAGGATCCCACAAAATCCCAGCGTTTGGGGCATTTTCCTCCTTTTCGTCCTTAGCACAGAGATGTGGGGATGGGAGATCTGGGGATGGGAGATCCAGGTACACTCAGGCACACCTGGGCACACCCAGATATCACATGCCCCTCATATAAAATGGTATTTAAAAAAAGATATTAAAAAAAAAAAAAACTCGATCGCTCCTGCCTCGATCGCTCTGCGATTGATCGCTCGTGCCTCGATCGATTGCTCCTGCCTCGATCGATTGCTCGGCGATCGATTATTCATGCCTCGATCGATTGCTCGGCGATCGATTATTCATGCCTCGATTGATTGCTCGGCGATCGATTGCTCATGCCTCGATCGATTGCTCCTGCCTCGATCGATTGCTCGGCAATCGATTGCTCATGCCTCGATCGATTGCTCGGCGATCGATTATTCATGCCTCGATTGATTGCTCGGCGATCGATTATTCATGCCTCGATTGATTGCTCGGCGATCGATTATTCATGCCTCGATCGATTGCCGAGCAATCGATTGCTCATGCCTCG